AAAAATCACCATTTAGCATCACTTAGGAGTTTTAACTGTTTCAAGAGAGAATATTAATAAATGTTAACATCTGTGGGTAAAAGTATGATAAGATATAAGCTATTTCCAAGTTTCTAAGAATCTCCCCATAAAATAAATAATTAAAAAGGCCTAATAGTAAAATTTACAGTGAAGAAACCTGGCAGATAACACCTCAACCAAATGTTCCATTTTTACTGGAAAGGGACAAATGGACATTACATGCCTCCTAGTAAGATATCCTGGGAAAAGTGAAATACCAATTCTCTGGATTTCCTGCCAAAAGTACATAACCTGAATTTAGTCATGAGGCAATATCAAAAAAACAAAAAGAAAGGCATTCTACAAAATAACTGGCCAGTACTCTGCAAAGTTATCACGGTCATGACAAAAAAGAAAAATTGAAAAAACTGTTCCAGACCAAAGAGACATGATGGTCACATGCCATATGTGACCCTGTACTGTACCCTGGACCAGAAAAGGATGTTAGTAGCAAAATTTGAATAAAAACTACAGGTTATTAAAAAAAAAAACAAAAACTATAGATTATATCATAGTATTGATCCAAAATTAATTTCCTGTGATTATGGAAGAGAATGTACACACCTTATTATTTAGCTATGTAAGTATTTACATCGTGTCTGCAACCAGCTCGAAAAAATCGTATCTAATAAAAATAATTATTTTACATTATTATGATTATTATAACATACATACATATATAATGATAAAACAAGTAAAATGTGAATTTATTCATGTAAAACGTGAATATTGGGAGAATCTAGGTAACGAGTATACAGAAGTCCTTTGTTGTAATTTTTTCAATGCCCTCATAAGTCTGAAATTTCAAAAGATACCTGAAAGGTAAGTGATCTCAATTTTGAAATGGTTTGACCATAGTCCAGTCTAGGGGTTGGCAAACTTTTATAAATGGACCAGATAGTCAATACTTCAGGCTTTGTGGGTCAGATAGTTTCTTTTACAACTCTTCAATGCTGCCACGGTGTTTTAAAATAAAAACAAAGAACAAAATAAACACCACCTTCCACAAATAGTAAGAATGGAACAGCTTGTTCCAATAAAACTTTATTTACAAAAATACGCAGTGGGTCACATTTGACCCATTGGCCATAGTTTGCTGACCCCTGGTCTAGTTCATGCCAAGGAAAATTTATCAGAATAATACTTTCAGTTAACATTTTGAATACATGCCAGACACTACATTAGGTAAAAACCTGATTAGGTAAAAACTATTATTATTTCCACTTTTCCACAGAGAAAATGAGCCCAGACAAACTAAGGAACTTGCTCAAGGTCACAAAGCTAGAAAGCAGCAGACTTTGGGTTTGAACCAGGTAGGGCTGTCTTCTTCACACTGAACTATGCAAACTATATGCTATATTTCTCATATGGAATGAAATATACTGCCACATGCAACAACCAAGGAACTCTAATCATTTTAACAGCAGCTAAGTAATTATCAAACTTAAGATTTACTCTCTGAGGGGCGCCTGGGTGGCTCAGTCGGTTGGGCGGCCGACTTCGGCTCAGGTCAAGATCTCACGGTCCGTGAGTTCGAGCCCCGCGTCAGGCTCTGTGCTGACAGCTTGGAGCCTGGAGCCTGTTTCAGATTCTGTGTCTCCCTCTCTCTGACCCTCCCCCGTTCATGCTCTGTCTCTCTCTGTCTCAAAAATAAATAAACGTTAAAAAAAAAAAAAAAAGATTTACTCTCTGAGAAGGTATTTTTTTTACAAACCTCCTGTAGCTGCAAAGAAATAAGTCCCAGTTGATCCTGCCGTCTTTCCACCAGCTCCCTTTCTGTGCGCATCTCTCTCTCTATTTCCTGAAGCCGTCGTTCCACCCGATCTGAAACCTTAACATCAACAGACAGAAACAGTGACATGATAGAGCTGGTAGGCAATAAAAGACAACATTGGAGAGATATTTCATGCCGCATACACTACTGCCTATATAGCATTTAAGAATAATAGCTTGCTTATAGTGCCCTTTTTAACGATGCTTATTATAAAGCAGATCACAAAAAAACTGAAAGTTACAGAAGAAAACAATCATTAGTCTCCAAATAATCCAGACCTGGAACCCAATGAAGGACTTAAATCTTTCAAAGTATAATATAATAATCAGAAGATCAGAGTTAAAATAGACTAGAAAAGAGTGCCCTCTGGTGAATTAGAAGGAAAATGCCAAGTTTGCCAACAACTGCATTTATTACTCTATTAATGATAAACTGATCTATTTAGTTCTTTTTCATTTTAATTATCTATAAACATGACCTGCCTAGAAAGGTTTTGATGTCTATGAGCAGCAAATAATTAAAAGCGTTTTTCATGAGCTTGTCAATCTTTTCTACTGTGATCTACTGAAAATAAACCAGCTGTAAAAGATCAAAAACTAAAGTCAAACAGAAAAATGTTTAATTGGGACCCTCTAAAATAAACATGAAAAAATTTATTTCTCTGATGCAAGATTTTCCTTGCTAAAAGTTGTACAAATTCAAACACATTTCATGTGTATCATTATACAGACCCCTAAATAAAATTTACCTATTTGACAATGTATATTTGGTGAAGCAGGATACAAGGGATAGAAAACATTTGGATTCATTTAAGAGAAGCAATAAATACAGCCTCATTATAAGAAATCTTTTGCCAACAGTTCTATATAGCCAGGAGGGTCTTGGTCACAAGGAATCTTACTGGGACAATGGAAATGTTGTAAACTGGATTATGGTGATGGTTGCACAACTCAGTACATTTAAAAAATCACTGAACTGTACACATAAAGCAGATTAATTTTATGATAAATTATAGCTCAAATCAAGTTGGTTTTTAAAAAGACATTGGTCAATATAAGTTTAATCTGTCAATAAACACTGAACAAAAATATCCTATCAAAAAATTTAGCAGTTACTATTTACTAAGAATGATCATTCTTGGGTTTCCAACTTCTGCTGCTTAAAAACAACTAAGATATTTACTGTGATATTCACAGTGCTTTACTAAAAACTCAAAACATCCTTTAGCATTAAACTTTTCATTTATCCTAGTAATCAACCTTGTCCCATTTAACAATTTACTACTGCATCTGAAATAAATGCAGTACCTACTGTAGCAGAAAACAATATTGGATAAATACTAAAAAAACAAAAGGTTAATTCATGCAATTTTTACAAAATTGAAATACCTTTATATTCACTATGAATGTAAAAAGTAACTAATAGCAACATTCATCAGAAAATAAATAATACAGAACCATCTCACACTGATTAGGATGGCTATCCAAAAAAACAGAACAACAAAATTAAAAAAAAAAAAAAAACAGAAAATAATAGGTGTTGGAGAGAAAGTGGAACCCTGGTATACTGTTAGTGGGAGTATAAAATTGTACAGATTCTATGGAAAACAGTAAGTTGCTTCCTTAAAAAATAAAAATAGAGTTACCAGCAGTTCTATTTCTAGATATACACTCAAAAGAATTGAAAGCAGGGTCTTAAAGAGTTATTTGTAGACCCATGTTCATAAGCAGCATTATTCACAATAGCCAAAAGATGGAAGCAACCCAAGTGTCCCCTGACAGATAAATAGATCGACCAAATGTGATTTACACAATACAATGGAATATTATTAAGTCTTAAAAAGGAATAAAATTCTTACACATGCTACAACATGGATAAACCTTGGAGACATTATGATAAGTGAAATAAGCCAGTCACAAATAGATAAATACTGTATCACTCCACTTATATGAGGTACCTGGAGTAGTGAAATTCATACAGGCAGAAAGTAGAAAGGTGACGTCCAGGGACTAGAAAACGGGAGTTTGGGGGGTTGTCACTTAATGGGTATAGTTTGTTTTACAAGATAGAAAGAGTTCTAAAACAATGAATGTAGAGGGAGCCAAGATGGACGAACAGCATGGAAGTTTTTTGTGTCTTCCATCCATGAAATACACTCAGACCAACACTAAACCATCCTGCGTACCTAGAAAAGTGATCTGAGGATTAACACAACAATATGCACAACCTGAACCACAGAAGTCAGAAGGTATGCAGTGCGGAGAAGTGAACTTGAGAGAGAAGCCGCAGAGGGCAGAGAGGTGCTTTTGAGTGTGGAGAGAGAACAGAGACGGTGGGGAGAATACAGGAAAAACACCCCCCACAAAAGCAGCTGGAGAGAAAGTGGAAAATTGGGAACAGCCACAGGGACTGAACTAAAAAGGGAGAAAAGAGAAAGGAGAGGGTTTAAATTCCATTAAGACTATAAACAGGGGGACCGCAGATCGTCTGCAACTCCGCAGCTCAATACGTGGCGGTGCTCTGGTTAACAGCAAATCCCCAGGAGAAGAGTGGGGTCCAGGAGGTTCTTGAGCCACACGGGGAGAAGCAGTTCCACTGCTGGAAGGACATTTGCTAGAGGCTGGGAGGCAACCTGGGCCGAGCAGACCCCAGAGAACGGCAACATCGCTGATCCTGGAACAAGGTCATTAAGGGTGAACACTAGTGCCAAATATGTGTTGTGATTTTCCATAATCCCTGAGATGCTGCTGCTACACAATCTAACGAACTTTTTCCGGGGTGGGCGGGCACCTGGCCGCAGTCTATGGGCTTCGTCAGCAGCACAGTAATGCAAATTTTCCTGGGTGCGGCCAGCATTCAGCCATTGCTTGGTGAGACCCTCCGCAGAGGGGCAGAACGGGTCAAAGCTGCAGTCCCTCAGAAGTAAGGGGCCAGGGGAAATGGCCACATCTGAGACAAAACTCGGGAAAGAGGTACAACCTGGGGCTCAGTCATGGACAGTGTAAAAGCAGGGAGTGGATGAAAGCTGAAGACAAAGGACGGGTGAGAGATTGCTGATCAAGGAGAAGAGAGTTCCAATACTAGAGACTGGGTAGCTGGGTGATGCCATTTTCACCACTCCCACACATGCACATATGCACCTACAAGTGCCACAACAATCCACCCCAGTAGGCTAGCAGCACCATCTACTGGAGAACTGAGCTGTTAAACTCAGCCCCGCCCAAATGGGCCAACCTCGCTCTTCAAGAACAGAAATCTCACCGCCTGCTTAGTTTATGGACTATAAAGCGCTTCATAGTCTGACATCCAGGGTAAAACAAAGTAATTTCAGTCGTATTTCAGTATGTTAGCAGGTCCATCTATTCACTTTTTTTTTTCATATCTTTTCTCTTTCTTGAATACAGAAAGAGAAAGAATTCACTTTGATTTTCCATTTTTACTAAAAATATTTTTCTTTAATTTTGTTACTATATTTTTTACTTTTGTGTAAATTTGTCCAAATTCTAGTTTACGTCCATCATTTCATTTTAGTCTACTTCAGCGTATTCATTTTTTCAAATTTTCAAATTATTTCCTTTTTTTTTCTTCTTTCCCCTTTTTTCTCTAATCTATCAAGCCACTTTCAACACCCAAACCAAAACACACCTAGGATCTAGCATCATTTATTCGATTCTTTTTGTGTGTTTTTAATTTTTTAATTTTAATATTGTTTTAATTTTAATTTTTTTACTTTAATTTTTTCTACCTCATTAATTCCTTTTCTCCCTTCAAAATGACGAAACGAAGGAATTCACCCCAAAAGAAACGGCAGGACAAAATGACAGCCAGGGACTTAACCAATGCAGATACAAGCAAGATGTCTGAACCAGAGTTTAGAATCACGATAGTAAGAATAGTAGCTGGAGTCGAAAACAGATTAGAATCCCTTTCTGCGGAGATAAAAGAAGTAAAAACTGGTCACGATGAAGTAAAAAATGCTATACCTGAGCTGCAATCACGGACGGATGCAGCAGCAGCAGCAAGGATGGACGAGGCAGAACAGAGAATCAGTGATATAGAGGACAAACTTATGGAGAATAATGAAGCAGAAAAAAAGGGAGATAAAGGCAAAAGAGCACAATTTAAAAATTAGAGAAATCAGTGACTCATTAAAAAGGAACAACATCAGAATCATAGGGGGGAAGAGAGAGAAATAGGGGTAGAAGGGTTATGTAAGCAAATCATGGCAGAAAACTTTCCTAACCTGCGGAAAAACACAGACATCAAAATCCAGGAAGCACAGAGGACCCCCATTAGTTTCAACAAAAACCATCAACAAGTTATATCATAATCAAATTCACAAAATACTCAGGTAAGGAGAGAATCATGAAAGCAGCAAGGGAAAAAAAGTCCTTAACCTACAAGGGAAGACAGATCATGTTTGTAGCAGACCTAGCCACAAAAACATGGCAGGCCAGAAAGGAGTGGCAGGATATATTCAATGTACTGAATGAGAAAAATATGCAGCCAAGAATTCTCTATCCAGCAAGGCTGTTAACCAAAATAGAAGGGAAGATAAAAAGTTTCCCAGACAAACAAAAATTAAAGGAGTTTGTGACCACTAAACCAGCCCTGCAAGAAATTCTAAGGGGTACTTTCTGAGGGGAGAAAAGATGAAAATAAATAAATAAATAAATATTAATAAATAAATACATACATACATACCAAAATCAACAAAGACTAGAAAGGACCAGAGAACACCACCAGAAACTCCAACTCTACAAGCATCATAATGGCAATAAATTCATATCTTTCCGTACTCACTCTAAACATCAATGGACTCAATGCTCCAATCGAAAGACACAGGGTAACAGAATATTTAAGAAAACAAGAGCCATCTATATGCTGTTTACAAGAGACCCACTTTAGACATACAGACACCTTCAGATTGAAAGTAAGGGGATGGAGAACCATCTATCATACTAATGGTCAACAAAAGAAAGCCGGAGTAGCCATACTTATATCAGACAATCTAGACTTTAAAATAAAGACTGTAACAAGAGATGCAGAAGGGCATT